AAGGACCCATCCATGTTTATCCCCCCTCCCATCCCATCCATTTTAGGTTTTGGCCCCCCTCCAAAAAAATTCCTAGCTCCACCCCTGTTTATGTGAGACATGCCCATAGATGCTACCTTTTTGGGTTCACCAAGTCAAGGTTCTAAATATCGATATTTGGCCACTTTTATTTTTTTTTTTTTTTTCAAACCTGTTCAGGGGGGTCAGTTTATGGCCCGTCTACCCCCTGAAACAGGTCAAACCCCAAAATACTTGCTGTAGGATAGTATCGGAGGGTCAGCGATACAATACATATCGGCCAATATGCCCCAACATGTTGCGAAATTTTAATCCTTGCACCAAGTCAGGCTCCCAGAGGACCTAGACACATGTCAGCTTCTCATTCCTGTGTCCAAGTCCATGCAATACTGATTTAACACAATTACCATTTATCAAAAAAATGTATATTTTAGAACTTTAATAATTTTAGCAAGATATTAGTACTGAGAAATGACACCTAGTTTCAAAACTAGATATAGAAGCATACTATAGGCATATTAAATGGGAAACCCATACCTGTATCCATGTCCTGGATCATAGTGAATAGAAAGCTGTATCCCCATTTCTTGTATCTGTGTTTGTTTGGTGTCATACTTGAGCATCATAGACAAGGTCCCTTCTATTTCCCTGCAAGTGAGAGGAGAGCCCGAAACAGAATTCTTTGACCTGCTCAAACATCAAAAAACAGTTAAATATCATTATCTCTAGCACAAAGCAATTGATATTTGTATGTATATATGAAGGTATGAATGCAGCAGGACTTTCCAGGATGGGAGAGTCCAGCACCAAAAACTACAAGCCCATAATTCAAAACCGCACGCAATCACAACAACCAAAAGACTAGCCCAGCAAGAGAATTGGATAAAGACTTTCCAGTGTGCTCCCCCCACCCCCTCCCTCCCCAAGCTAAATCATCAGCATTCAAAAAGGGCATGGATAATCACTGCAAATGCCCCTCTTCAGAATCTTTTCAACTACCAACCATGAGATCTTTGAAACTGCCAGCTACCAATATGTAGTCTTTTCAGGTTCCAAAAAGTAAAGCAGCTTCTAATCATTATTCATTAATGAAAAAAAAATGATATTGGTATAATTCAATTCAATAATCAATAGAAATATGAACATATTGTATAAAATGACATACACATAGGGGTGTTCATTATACGGTCCAGGCTGCCAAACCAAACTGAAATTAGTGGTTTGGTCCGGTCTGGAGCTTGAAACTCTGACATGAATAATTTGGTTTCTTTGATCGTATTTCCTGATTAGGTCCAAATCTCAATTGAAATTGTGCTTATTGAGAATCTTTTTGTTACAAGGGAAGGTTGGACCGTTGGAGTTCTAGTGTAGTATTAAAATTCTACACTAGATATCACACTAGTGTTTAGCTCTAGTGTAGTATTGAAATTGTGCTTCTGAGTTCTAAGTTCCTTGTTGTCTTTCCTAATTGGCCCAAAACGTATTAGAAACCGCACCAAACTGTAATAAAATGGTTGGGTTTGGTTTAGTTTCCATACCAAAACAGTTTGATTTGCTCTAAGAATTTCTCAGACCATAATTTACCGGTTTGGTCTGAGATCTTCTCCAAACCACACTGAACCAGGCCATGAACACCCACCCCTACATACACATTTCATCTCCTGCTACCTGACTTCCAAAGAAGCACTTCCGACCATGCATCATGTTCTGATCAACAAAACTTGATATACTCAATATACCTGTTCAGGAGATGTAATATATAGACTCCCTAGAGATTGTTCTCTAGATACCTAATACAATTCCACTAAAAAAGGCAATAACCAAATGTTGGTTCCAGTTATGAGGGGTATTGGGAGGAGTGGATTGGATATGGACCTAACCATTGACATTTTTTGTGCACAAAATGGCCATTCCCATACTCAAACTCATGTCTTATGCTTGTCAACCTGAGATTTTATCATTACACCAAGTAATTGCCCCTAACCAATATAATCCCACTAGTACCAACATAATTCTATAGGAAATGGTTCACGGGTTACACTACCAAATCATCATGATGCCAATCCCCCACCCCCAACAAAAAAGAAAGAAAAAACACATTTGCACGAATGCAGAGAAGAACAAGGCAGATGATTTCACATGGATTCTAACACCAGTATATGGCCCAAACACCCCTTCTGACAGGAGTAAATTTTGCGAAGAGCTGGATTCATTGCACGAGATACAGTCATGAACACTCCAATGGAAAGAGGGTAAATAGAAGCATGAGGGAGTTCTCCAACTTTATCTCCAGACACAGGCTGCATGACCTCCCCCTGAGGAATGGTAATTTCACCTGGTCGAACATGCCGGAGAATGCCTTAAGTGTAGGCTCGATAGATTCCTAATTACATCAGATTGGGAAGCCCATTTCCCCCTGACCTTTCAGGAGATCTGTTCCCGCTGCAGCTCTGATCACTGGCCTATCACCCTAAGTACAGACTTGGTGATCGGAGGGAAGACTCCTTTTAGGCTGGAAAAATTCTGGACAGAACACAAAGATTTCGGTAAAAAGGTAGCTTCATGGTGGGAGGAATGTAAGACAAAAGGGTGGCTAGGTTACAGAATTTTGGAAAAATTAAAATTTGTAAAAAGGAAATTAAAAGGATGGGCCAAAGGGGAATTCAAAGCCTTTAAGGAAGAGAAATCAGCATTCTTATCAGAACTGGATAACCTAGATGAAAAGGAGCAGAATGACCAGCTTGAGGAGGATGAAAGAAGGAAAGGATTTGGGCTAAGACAAGAGCTAGAAAAGGTGGTAAGGAGAGAAGAAATTTACTGGAGACAGATCAAGGATCAAATGGTTGAAGGAGGGGGATAATAACTCTAGATTCTTCCATATTTATGCATCTGGTAGACGGAAAAGGAATCTTATAACAAGAATTAAAGTCGGGCAACGAGATGTGGAAGACCCTGAGGAAATTTCTGAAGCCTTCTTATGCTTTTTCAAATACCTGTATTCAAAGAAAGAAAGTAGGAAATTCTCCCTAACCTTTGGGAAAGCCTCAAGTTGTCGAAGGAGAAAATATTGTGGTTATAAAGAAATTTTGAAGAGCAAGAAGTGAAGGATGTAGTGTTTAGTATGGATGGAGATAGAGCCCCTGGCCCCGATGGTTTCCCAATCTTCTTTTACCGAATTTGTTGGAGCCTTAGATGAAATCATTTCCCCAAGTCAGTTTGCATTCGTCAAAGGGCGACAAATTGTTAACAGCATCCTGATAGCAAATGAATGCGTAGAAGAGAGGAAGGTGAATGGCAAACCTGGAGAGATAGTGAAGCTCGATTTAGAAAAATCTTATGACAAAGTTGATTGGGAGTGTATTCTGGAAATTATGAGGCTAATGGGCTTTGGAAGAAAGTGGATTCAGTGGGTGGAAGGGTGTATAAGTTCCACCTGGATGTCAATTTTAATTAGCGGGCAACCAAAAGGCTTTTTTCAACGCTAGCAGGGGACTAAGAGAAGGTTGCGCCCTCTCCCCGATGCTCTTTACTCTTGTCACAGAAATATTTAGCCAACTGGTGAAGAATGCCATTTCTCTGGGTTTATTGAAAGGCTTTGAAGTTGGACAAGAAGCCACTCAGATTTCTCATCTCCAGTTTGCCGATGACACTATCCTTTTCCTAGAGTCTGATGAGGAAATTATTTCTAACCTGAAAAGGGTCATCACCTGCTTTGAATGGATTTCTGGATTGCAAGTTAACTTCTCTAAGAGCAGTATTGCAGGCCTAAATCTAGCTGGTACTAACTCCTTGAATATTTTCACAGAAATTTTGGGCTGCAAAGCGGAGAATCTCCCATTCTCCTTCTGGGAATGCCTCTTGGAGGGAATCCGAGGAATTTAAGCTTTTGGGAACCAATGTTACAAAAATGTGAAAAGAAGCTAGCCACATGGAAAATGAACTATCTTTCCAAAGGGGGGAGACTCACTCTTGTTAGAGACTCTTTGGCAAACTTACCCACCTACTACAAGTCTACTTTTCACTTGCCCAACAAAATAGCTATTCAGTTAGAAAGGCTTCAGAGAAACTTTATTTGGAATGGAGGCGGGGAAAGGGTCTCCCACCTTGTGAATTGATCTCAGGTTTGCAAACCAAAGAAGGGTGGTGGATTGGGGCTAGGCCATTTGAAAGAAAAAAACACAGTTCTCCTTAGCAAATGGTTATGGAGATTCCCTCGGGAACCAAATGCGCTCTGGACTGCTGTTATCACTAGCAAATACGGGAAGCATGCCAACAGTTGGAATAGCAACTTTCACTTGAGCCGGATCAAAGACACTCACCCTTGGAAAGGTATTGCCTCAACTTACACTTCTTTCATTTCTTTCATCAGGTATAAGGTGGGTAAGGGAGATAGAATAAAGTTCTGGACTGATCTTTGGTGGGGTAACTCAACCTTGGCCAACTCCTTCTCTCGTCTTTTCAGCCTCACTTTAAACCAAGAAGCTCTAATATCCCAGGTTCTATCCTCTCCCCCGCCCCACCCTCACTTCAACTGGAACCTAAATTTTAGGAGACCACTAAGGGATCTAGAACTTAGCAAAATCATTAGTTTCTTACATACTCTAAGAGAGGTAATGGGCGTATCGATACACCCGTTACCACTAAGGTTCAAAATATCAATACGTCGGTAGGGGCATATCGGGTGAATCGATACTTTTTTTTACTTTTTTTATTTTTTTTCAAAACCAGTTCAGGGGGCCGGTTTAGGGCTCTTCCACCCCCTGAACTGGTCAGACCCCCGATACACCCACTGTAGGGACATATCGGAGAGGTCTCGGAACAATACGTATCGGCCAATACGGGCCGATACGTGTCGATACTTTGAACCTTGGGTATACCTCTCCCCAAATTCCCCCGACCTTCGTATCTGGACCCCTTCACCTGGCCGGTAAGTTTTCAACCAAATCTTGCTTCAAGGCTTTAGTTAAGGAAGAATAAACCATTGATCAGTACCCATTCAAGAGAATTTGGTGTGCCCATATCCCCTCCAGGGTCTTTTTTTTGTGTGTGTGTGTGTGTTTGTGGGGGAAGCAAGCTTAAAGAGAATCAACACCTACGATCTCCTCTAGAAAAAGAACCTTGGAAGGTCATATTTATCCCCACATGTCTGCTGTTTCTGCCTCAAAGCTGGGGAATCTGCCAACCACATCCTGCTTCACTGTGAGGAAAAAAGAAAATTTTGGATCTTTTTCCTCACACTTTTTGAGTACAGCTAGGTCTTCCTAGAACAGCTGGTTGGACAATGGACAGAAAGAGGCTTAAGAAAAAGAGGGGAAACTTTGTGGCAATCTGCTGCACATGCTGTTTTTTGGAGCATTTGGGAAGAAATTAACAACAGAACAAAAAACTGCAAGGAACTTATTTCTCTAATCTGCTATAGGTGCTTGCTGTGGACCTCCAGCTCAAAGTTTTTCAGAGGTGTCACCTTGGCTGATCTCCAAAGAAATGCTGCATTCTTTCTTCACTCTAATCACATACACCCCAACACTTCTGCAGTCTCAGAGTTTCTGAAGATGGGGAGACAACCTTGTAATTTTATGGGAACGCCTTCAATAATCCAGGTGCAGCTGGTATTGCAGAGGTAATTAGAAGAAGAGATGGTACTATCATTTGGGCTTTCATTGGACCAATTGGGATAGCTGATTCAACAGAAGTCTTGGCAGCCTTAAATAGCATCAGGATGGCAAGAGACCTGGGTCTGTTAAACCTCACCATTAAAGGAGATTTTGCCAAGTGCCAACACCATTAATTGGCTAACTAATCCTGATAGTGGGCCTTGGGCCTTAGCTCACTACTTGGCTGAAGCAAGAGACATCATCTCCTCCTTGAATGCACACTTGGGATGGGTTCCAAGGGAGCTAAATTCTGAAGCCGATAGACTAGCTAAATCTGGTGCTCACAGGGATTACTTATTCAGTGATAGCTTTTTACCTGTATAACTATTTGAGTGCTTGATCTCTGTGTACATCCCCTCATGTACTTTTCTCCCTATAAATAAAGTTCACTTATTTTCAAAAAAAATGCAGAGAAGAAATTAATGGCACAAATTCAAAAGGTGAAGAAAGATTACTCTATTGTTTATTTATGAAAAGTAGTAAATATTTTTTTGAAGAATAAAGATAAAATTTTATTAAAAATAGAAGGGGAAGAGATACAGAGCAGGGTGATAAGATATCACCAGAAATTGACCACCTCAGAAAGTCCATAAAACCCATTAACCCCACAACTAACAAGCAAAAGCCACACCCAAACAATTCCAAGAGAAGCTCAACTTAGACCCAATGATTTCCCAATTATACAACAACCAACAGCCCGTCAATTATCCCAAAAGCAGAACGCTCCCCCCCCCCCCAAGAAACCACCAAGACACCAGCCTTCATCCGTGAGTACATCCTCCTGGACTGAGTTATCCTCATCCCATTCTTTTCTTCCTTCCCGAAGGACTTTCTTCTACAATATCTCTACCCTTTTTCTTCGACCCCACTCAACTAATTTTCCTGTTGACTCTTCATAAAAAGGGGGGACCGTTGACTGAATTTGCATCAGTGCCCCCCTATGATCAGTACCTTGTGTCCTGTTTCCTCTTGTTTTTTTTTTCCTCCTGTACACCCATTTGTATCTTTTAGTAGGTCCTACCCCTGCTAGGCTAAGTTTTAACCTTGAAAAAATCTGTCACATGTACAAATCTTCAACCCCACTCAACTGATTTTCCTGTTGACTCTTCATCGAAAGGGGGACCAAAGTGCCCCCCTAGATCAGTACCTTGTGTCCTGTTTCCTCTTGTTTTTTTTCCTCCTGTACACCCATTTGTATCTTTTAGTAGGTCCTACCCCTGCTAGGCCAAGTTTTAACCTTGAAAAAATCTTTGTCACATGCACAAATGCAGTAATGCACAATACTATGATTTCACGCGTTACGCAATTTCTTGTTATTTATTTATTTTTCTGATAATTCAATTTCTTGCTATTTATCCCATTGCTTTGTTCCTCTTCCTTTACTTCAGACTTGCTCTTTCGGCCCAAATCAACAACCAACATTCCAACCTCCACTTCCTCGTATTGCAGACAATCCTTGATGTGGTTTTCAGCCTGACCTCCAGAGAAATCATCAACATCTGAGACTTCCTTACCTCCAATCTCCCCTTCATTTTCCAATTCCCGGTTTCCTTCTCCGCCCCCCCCCCCCAATCTCACTGATTCACCAAAGGCACACTCTACCAGAGTCAGCAAGTCTGGAGTTCCCAATTCACTAACCAGCGACTCCAAGACAGCAGCCCTGAGCTCAGACAAAGCACGATTCTCAATGGGATATCTACTCCCTGAGCAAAGTGTCCAGAATCACCTAACACTGGAGAACAAGGGCATTCATCAAGATGTGTACCTGTTTCACCAACGATCATCTTTTTGTCGTTATTGTCATACTTGGTGATCACCCAGATTCATCATTCTCCCTCTCCTTCTGTAGTATACACAACTGATGCATTAATTAAAGTCTCCAGACTATAAATGTGCATAAAGATTAATGACTAGAACCACAAAATAGATGCAACTGCAGCTAAACCATAGAAAAAGAGCTCAGCAAAATCTGAATCCAGAAGAACATGATGTTCATTTCAAATGCCATTCTTGCTTCAGAATCTTATTCCAACAACCAAATATGAGGTATTCAAACCATCAGATTCCAACTTTTGTTGTTTTCACATTCCAAGAATAGAGCAGATCCCATCATTATTCATTCACAAACAAGATTTATAGTGGTATGGTTCGATTCAATAGAAATAGAAGCATATTGATATACATTTTGATATAATGTAACATACACACTTAAACTCCTACTACCTGACCAGCTAAAAAGCACTTCCAGACTTGTACAATGTTCTGGCCAACAAAAGATTCTATGCTCAACATACCTGTCCAGGAAATAGCATCTAGACTCCCAAAGGATAGTTCTTTAGATATGCAATACATTTTTTTGAAGAATCAGAATAAAAGATATGCAATACAATTTCACTACGCCTAACATATTCCAGAGAAGAACCAGTGGTTACATTACAGACTTCACCAAGTCACCATGCTTCCCCCCCCCCACCCCAACAAGAACACACAAATGCAGAGGAGAGACAAATAGCATAAATTTAAGAAGTGAATCAAGATTGCTCTACAATAACTATTTATGAGAAAGGAGTAATTAAATCATTGCTGCATCAGCAAAAGTCTCCACACTACAAACATGAATAAAAATTAACAAACCACAAAATAGATGCAACTGAAGGTAGACTGTGCTTATGTGTAAAATATGCAATCTGATAAGTATTCTTCAAGCATATTTAAGTTGTGGAATGTATTACAGTTACAAAATAACAAACAACAAAACAGGGTGTTGATATATCTACTTTATTTTGGGCAAAGTTGTAGCTACTGTAGCAAAACAGGAAGCTGGTAACCTTTGTAATTGGGGCAAAGTTGTACTCCGATGCACTCTGGATTACAGAGTAGCTAAAACACTTGTAATTTGTTTCAGTTTAATTAATGAAATTAATTTGCTGATCAAAAAAATATTAATAATTACAAACAACAAAGCACTTGAGAAGTTAAAGTGCCACTTGCCTCTTGGTGATTATTGAACATTTGTCGTGTGGGATGCAAATTCTCTCACAACCAACCCTCTGAGTCTCCAAACAATGGAGCAATTTTCCCCCAATACTTTTAGCAATTGTCATTCAGCATTCTCTGGAACAAAGGGAGGTTCTCATGGGAATGCATGCCAATAAATGGAAGTATGGAGCAGCTATTTCAGACCAGATGAGTAATAAATCAAGATATACAGTTGTAGTGAGAATGTGTCACAAGAAAAATCTAACTTTTCCAAGGATATTCTTTTGCCATCTTCTCTAGCTTGCCAAATATGGAGGTGAAAGATGTATACAAAAAAACCTTGGTGACAAATATGAACACTAGTAACCATTTTATGCCCCATCCTTTCCATCTGGAAATCCCTCAATCAACATTGAATATGTTTGAGGGCTAGGCCTGCATCCCTTTTGCTCCATGATGCCTAGTAGCTCAGAGCATCTATCAACAAGGCCCCTCTTAAGCAATCCATCAATCAGAATTTTCCAAACTAATTCATCATAATTATAACCACCATCTAACATGATAGAGAAAATTGAATTGGCCTTTTCAATATTCCCTTCATCACATAACCCACAAAGAAGTAGCTTGCAGGATTCCAAATATGGTAAATGACCATGTTCAGCCATCATATCCACCAGCTCCGATGCTTCCCCATACATTCCTAACTTGCAGCAACAAATGGCAAGAGAATTATAAATATTCTCAGTAGGAGATAATCCTCTATCTTTCATATAATGCACAAACCCTTTTGCCTCCTCCAAGCGACCCACTTTACAAAATCCTGTTATGAGGTCATCAAAAGTACCAGCATTTGGTGTGAAACCACGTTCATCCATTTCTCTCAGGAGTTTTATGATAGTTTCAGATTGTACTATCTTCCAAACATCAGTTATACCAACTAACTTACAATTTGAAGCCAAGAGAAAATCACTATCACCACTCGTTTCCTTAACCTGTTTCTCATTTAAGAGATGCCTGACCAAAATGGAATAAGTATTTTGAGAAGGCTCACATCCAGCATCAACCATGCGCTTGAGAACATCAAAGGTTCGGTCTATTGATCCCATCTTACCATACCCATCTATCAATGCATTGTAAGTCACTGAGTCTGGTAAGACACCTTCTTTATTCATTTTAACCATCAACTCCTCAGCTTCTTCCAAGGAACCTCGATTGCAATACATGTGGATAAATGCAGTGTAAGTACAGACATCAGGCTGACATCCCAAAGAAACCATTTGATCAAATAGCCTATGAGCATGATCAAAATCACCTTCTTTCAGCATCTCATCAATAAGAATGGTATAAGTAACAACATCAGGTCCCACTCCTACTTCTACCATCCTTTCTAGCAAAAGTGATGCTTCATGCAATTTCTTTTCTTTGCACAACCCATCTATCAACACATTATAGGTATAAGAGTTTGGCAAGCAATTCTCAGCAAGCATTTTCTCAAGCATAGAATGGGCACAGTCAATCTTCCCCACTTTGCAGTACCCACCAATCAAAGCAGTATATATTACTTCATTTGCCTTTATACCCTTCTTTTCCAGAGAGTTAAATAAGGAATGAGCTTCTTCTACCCTCCCCTCTTTGCAAAGGGCATCTGTTAACATGGAGTATGTCCATTGATCAGGGACCAAATCATTTTCTGTCATCAACTTAAGCAGCCTATACCCACTATCTAAATGGCCCTCCCTACACTGGCCGTGTATTAATGTGTTGTAAGTTACAACACTGGGAGACAGGCCACAGACAAGCATCTTACTGAATAGCACCATGGCATTGTGCACCTTTTTGTCATTACAAAGCCCACACATCAACTCGTTGTATGTGCGAGCATCTGGCTTACAACCATTTGATTCCATTACATCCAAAATTGCAAATGCACCATCAATCTTCCGTTCTTTGCAATATCCATCAATCAAAGCATTGTAAGTGACAACACCAGGAACCAAGCCTTTCTCAACCATCTCGTTTAACAATGTAGTAGCATCTTTAAGTTTGTTTTCTTTACACATAGCATTGATAAGCACTGTGTAGGTGTGAACATTTGGTTCACAACCTTTCTCTGACATCTCTTGAAACATATTGAATGCTTCCAATCTCCTACCGGATCCACAAAGTGCCGATATGAGAACTGTGTAAGTTCGGACAGTCGGACTGCAATTGTCATCCGCCATTTTGGAAAACAACTTGAGAGCTTCATCAATCCTCCCACCTTCACAAAGCCCATGTATAAGTGTAGTGTATGTGGCCTCATTCCTGCGACAACCCTTTTGCGGCATAAGCTGGAAAACCCTAGAAGCACTGTCTAAATCCTTACTCCTACAATGTCCCAAAATCAAGGACGTGTATGTGTAGGTATCAGGATTTAAACCAGCTTGCAATATCTTACTTATATAAAGTTCTGCCTCAACAACATTTGCCATCTTACAGTAAGCATTTATCATCGTATTGAAGGTGTAGATGTTTGGAGGTATCCTATCGTCCAAAATCTCCAAATAAATAGCTTTCATTTCATCAATCATAAGAAATCTGGCCAATGACATAAGCAAATGATTATAGCATTTAAGAGTGAGCTTAAGTTTATGTTCACCATTTTTTCTCATCCTCCTCACCACATCCAACACAAATCGAATATCTTCCACCGAATCGCAAGACTTGATCATTGATATTCTAATACTTACAGCTCTAGCAAATAATCGAGCACGAACAAGGAGGTTCAAGAGAGATGAATAAGACTGAACACTATGTTTATATCCGGGTCTTTGCCCAATCCAGTTGAAGAAATGTAGGGCAGTTTTCGCGTCAATACTAAGATTGAAGATCCTGGAAACATGGAATGGGGTTAGAGATGGAACCAATTTCTTCAGCGATTGGTTTTTCTGCCAGCCAGGACGGGTTAGGATCGCAAGAACTTGGGCGCATAAATCAATCGGTTCTGTTTCTAATGATAGTGTTTCAGGAACTGAGACAACCGTTGACGACGGGTGCTTGGCAAAGGGATTGAAGAGAATGACAACGAGCTTACCTGGTCTAATAATGGACGTCGATCTTCTCATCTTGGGGCATCGTACGCAGGTGAGGAATCCATGCATGAATGTGCTTCGGGGTTTCAGATTGCTCAAGCTTCGAGCGAATCGTCTCTGTCTCCCTGATCTGAAAAAACTCAACACAGAGCTCACCTAGAAACCCATCCACATGAAGATGCCAAGTTATTAGTACCAAAGACAGCTGCGGTGGTTCGCTAACGTTCGCCGGTGGCACAGAGCGCACCACTCTTTGACCCCACAAGGGCTACAAAGGCTCGACCTCGACTGCTGCACCATCTCCGACTCCGAGGTCGTGGGTTCGAGCTCGACCCACAGGCCACAGGGATTTGCTATGATGCTCTAGGGACTAGGGTTTGATATACCGTGAAAAAGAAGAGAGAGAGGGAAAGAGGCCAGAAGTGTGGAGCCAGCCTGACTGCCTAAGCCCACAGGGGGCAAAATGGGAAATAGAAAAAAGCACTTCCGCGGTTCCGCCAAATAAACAATCACAGCTGAAGTCAACAATTAATCCCATTCAAGATTTACCAGATCCGTAAATCTTAACCGTCCAACTAAAGTACTTTTCTACGTTATGATTGTAGTGGGGCCTAGGTAAAAGAAAGGCTGGGTTGGATTGTGATTCAATCAAAATGACCCATCAGAAACATTTGACTTTCGTGAGAAAATCAAAGATCACACGGTTGCTACCGTAGCGTACCAAATTCGTCTAGACGTCTACGTGTGGGTCATTGGCGGAAGCGCATTGCGCACTAGGCGTATTTTATCTATAAGGTGTGGAAAACCTAAAGACGACAATGCGATGGCCCGAGCCTCGGCGAGATCGCACACCACTGTGCGTAGTAGAGGAAGTGGTCTGCTCACTACCAGAGAAAGAAACAAAAAGAGGAAGGAAAACAAAGATCTTTCCTTCTCTATTGGCTCCATTTTCGCTTCTCCCTCACCTGCGACGAGTTCGCAGAAGCAGAGGGAACGAAAGAGAGAGTATATATTTTTCTAGAGCGAGATAAAGGGGAATGGAGGGACGATTTCTCTCTCCACCAGCGAAGCGTCCGTTCAGCATCGCCGGAATGCCAGAAAACAACGCCAACGGCCCATCTAAGCGGGGCCGTACCAAGGCGCCTCCGCCTCCCATTGTCCTCTCTCCCGGTCAAGTCGCCTTCCGTCTCCTCTGTCACGTCTCGTACATCGGTGGCGTCATCGGGAAGTCGGGCAGCATCGTTAAGCAATTCCAGAAGGAGACCGGAGCGAAGATTCGAATCGAAGAGCCAGTCCCGGGGTGTGACGAGCGCATCATCCTCGTTGTCGCGCCAGAGACTCCGAAGAAGAAGATTAGATTAAAGGGATCAAGTAAGGAGGACAAGGAGGTTGGAGTGGAGTTTGAAGTTTCTCCTGCACAAGAGGCGCTTGTCAAGGTATTTGAGAGGGTTTTGGAAGTTGTGTCCGAGACTGATGGGGTTTTCCCGCCACCGGGCGGTTCCGTCTCTTGGAGATTGCTGGCGGCAAGCAATCAGGTTGGGGCGGTTATGGGGAAAGGTGGGAAGATTATTGACAAGATTAGGAAAGAAAATGGTGTCAAGATTAGTGTTTTAACTGCAGAAATGCTCCCAGCTTGCGCAACTCCTAATGACGAAGTGGTAGAGGTAAGGGTTCCAATCCTTTCTCATGATTAGCTCTGTTGCTCGAAGATATAACCTTTTCTTCTTCTGTCAACATTGTTCTTATTTTTAGATACTTGTGGGAAATATATAGGTTTTCCAGAACTGCTGCCCTGGATTTTCCATTAGAAGAATAGGCAGGAATTCTGGTTTTCCTTATTACCAACAAAGATTTTATTAATAATCAAAAATAGAGGTAGTAAAAGATGTTCGAAGAGTAGAAAAACTGTAGAGTTGCCCAAACATTAAATGCTGACGGTTCTATGGTCTTTTTATGACTTTCTGGGTTTCTTACTGAAATAGGGTTGCTCAAACATTAAATGAAATAGGTTCTTTGGCAAACTAAACAAAATGGCATTGAATCAACATTGTTCAAAATTTACTGAAAAAAAAAACACATAGTTCAAATTTTTCATTACTTGATAACCTTGCCATTTCCACAGTGGTGAGTAATGCTATTTGCATGAGCAAATTGTTTATCAGGCAGTTGGGGTGTTGTTTCTGTTTTTTTTTTTTAGAGAAAAGGTAAAGCATAAAATTTTATTAATCAAAGAAGAAGCCCATAAACAAGGGACTCTACATTAGGGATTTACAGAAAGATTTACCATAGAGTATCATACTTTGATTACAAAAATAGAAAATCAGCGTAAAAAAAGGAGTTATATGATCTTCCTTTAAACAAACCATGCCTGGGTGCCCACAAGTCCATAAGAATAACATCCCTATAGCCTTGTTTTCAAGCTTCCCACCCCAAATAGCCCACAGGCACCATGCTCCACAAAAGCTTCCCACCCTTCTCAGGCCTCCAAAGGCTCCTTTACAGATTCTGGAAGACACAATTGAATCCCGTAGCCCAAATCTGGCATGCATATTTACAATGGATAAAGATATGACGAATAGATTCCAAGTTGTTAATTGCAAATATTGCAACTTGGATTTTTTTCCATCTCTCCTTTTGGCAAGTTGTCAGCTGTAAGACATTTATTTTACACTGCTACCCATAAGAAACAATGGTACTAGGCTACTAGCATGTTACAAATTTATCACCAGACCCGGCATCCCCACTCAAAATGACTTCTATTTACACCATCTCTAGCCACTCTGTCTGCAATGCTGTTGGCACTTGGCAGAAGTAGGAAAGTGCCTGAATGAGCAGTTCAAGTTGGAAGCCAGAGATTAAACTTCCCTAATCAGAGATTGTGGTCCTTCATAGAAACCATAAAACTGCCACCTGATGAAAATAACCAGTGATGTTTACCACGTGTACAAAGAGTGTCTGTACAAAATAAACATTTAGAGCTGGGCAAATAAAACTCGAGACCAACTACGGTGTATTTACAAATATTTGCAGCTTAAATCAAGATTTCAACCATTCATGTGAAAGACATCACATGGTCTACTTATTTTTCATTAGTTCATGTTTCACAAGATGTACTTACCATCAAGACTTTAACAATGTTAAAGATGTAAGTGCCCATGACATGCTGTTTTATCACTAGTTCACATTTTTTTGCTACGGTGCAGTTCATGCACCAGAGATTTTTCTATAAAACTATGTGCTAAAAAAATAATTAATATTAAAAAAAATTATGACGAAGATCAACCCTGAACGATCTGTGTGATAGGATCTCAACAATGATATTGTTGATTTCTTTTTTTTTTTTTTTTTTGCTCAAAGATACAGCCAGACAGGGATTTCTTTCTTGCAATTTCAACCATATAACTTCCAGGGGAATGGAAGTCTGTAGCACCTTGCCCTTCTTATTTAACCTTATAATATACCAGCCATCCAAGGCTTCAACCATTTTTGTAGGCAGCAATTCATATGCCATCATTATTTCCTAGGATCGTGGAATAGCTGACTTTTGTTTGTTATTTCACTATTACTAATCCACCATCAAATAGCTGAGCCTCAAATAGCTATCCTTTTTACCATTATTCAATACCTGAGGATTGAGCTTTTCTTATTTTTGTGTCAGTTCACTGTTGCACACTATTGGCCTGAAGAGTCATTATCTCTTGCATCTCAAGTGAAGGTTTATCATCCTTTAGTGTTAGGAAAAGAAAAACTCTCTTTTCTGTAAATTTGATATTTTATTATATTAGATACTCCATGATTTGTAGGGGCAATGAGATCATCCTGCCCTTCTCAGTTTTGACAGTAGGTTCAGAATTTAAACTAAAAATGCATCATCGTATGTAGATGCGGTGGATATCCTTATCATGAATAAAACCTCCCATATATCCACTTGAAAATTGGTTATTTACATTGGCAGGTTACAGGAGATCTTTTCGCTGTAAAAAAAGCTCTTATTGCTGTTTCACGCTGTCTTCAAAGCTGTCCACCAATAGATAGAACGCAACTGGTTGCAAGCAAACCCGTGGAGGCACCTACTCGGGGGATTTTTCCTGACCCAAATGGAGAGCTATTCCCACAACAGAGTTCATTTCTACCCCCTTTATCAAGAAAAACTATTGACTATGCTTCAAGAGGTCGTCCTCTACCACAAGATATTGAGAAGATCTCCACCCCAGATCCAAAGAAGACACAGCAGGAAGTTACATTCAGACTTCTCTGTTCCAATGAGAAGGTTGGGGGCGTAATTGGTAAGGGAGGTGTAATTGTCAAAGCACTACAAAGTGAAACAGGCGCTTCCATTAGTGTTGCAGCATCTGTATCTGAGTCAGATGAGCGTGTAATCACTGTTTCTGCAATGGAGGTTTGTCTTCCTACAATTATTTTGCCAAAGTTATATTACATTATTACTCATCGTTGTTATGAATTTCACTGGTATAGCTATATTGTTTGATGCCATTATCTTGGTTGGTTTTTTTATCAGTAACTATAAAAAAAAATTTATTAGACCATTTCTGGATTGATATATTGTCATGTAGAATGTGGAGTCACAGTACTCTCCAGCACAAAATGCTGCCCTTCGCGTTTTCACTAGGTCCATTGAGGTTGGCATAGAAAATGGACTGGAGTCAGTCTCAAGTAAGGGGACTCCTGTTATTGCACGTCTTCTAATATCATCAAACCAAGTTGGTTGCTTGATGGGTAAAGGAGGCACAATAATTTCAGAAATGAGGAGGATAACTGGTGCTGGTATACGGATATTAGGAGGTGAACAGGTCCCAAAATGTGCCCCAGAAAATGATGAAGTGGTACAGGTATGGGATTCTATACTTTTTATTATGGAAGTAAGGAAAGGACATTATTGGTGTTGGTGATTTTCTTCGGCAAGAGTCATCTTTAGATTCTTCTAAAACTGACCAAGTACCATTTATATGCTAAATTGATAGATAGACCATTTCTTTTTAACCTAATAGATATAACTTCCTATGATATTGAATACTCAAGTTAATTTGTGATGATTTCAACATCTTAACTTCTCTTTTGTTCTATCATTTCCTATGGAATCTGTTAGATCACCATTTTTCTGTCAAGGGTTAATGATATTAATTTCAAGACATTGCATGAATTCTGTTGATTTTTTTTATTGGTGCAAAATTCTGTTGGTTTTATGTATACGCAGTGTTTCTGCAGTTTTGCAGAGAACTGTTTAATATGGTTCTTTGCAAGAAAGCATGTCCTTTTTTTGTTTTTCTTACTTTTATTTTTTTTATCAATATGTTGTTCTTACATTTTGATTAGCAAAGAAAGGCCCTGTTTAAACAAAATACAATTGACAGTTGATCAAAAAAACAAAATACAACTGACATTCTGATCAAAATTGTAGGTTAATAGTGTTCTATGAAATGGTTACTTTTCTATAAAAACTCTTTTAATCATACTCAATATATGAAGAAGCTTTGTGAATATATTGATCAAAAAAAGAAGCTTTTTGAACATAATAGAGAAAATAAGTGTTTTTCAAGTGCATATTGGAGGCAGCAGGGTACCCAAGTGTATAAAGGAAAAGCTCTTGCTTTTACAGATTACTGGGGATCTTAGCAATGTTAAGGATGCTTTACTTCATGTTACTGGTAGATTGCGTGATAATATTTTACCCAATAAAATGTCAAAAGGAGCAGGAGTCAGTAGCTACTCGTCTTCTGCCATCCCAGAGATTAGTTCTTTCGGAAGAGTGAGAGAACCTACTTCTTCTGGAATATATCCATCAGTGGGGCTTTCTCATAATCCAGATCGCCCAGTTACTCTAATGCATGGTATGGATCACCTAGGGCTTTCTCATAGTTTGGATCGTCCACCATCACCAAGGTTATGGGCATCACAGGTATAACTAGTATTCTTCTATCTCCAGTTACAATCATCACAATCTTTTCTTAGTGTTTTCTTTATGAGCATCCATAGACCAATTTATGACCTTATTGTATGGTGATCTGATTGGATGCAGACTGTCAGCAGTGGGGATTCAAGGGGCATTACAGACCTAGGAAGAGGATTTTCAACACTTAGAGGTGGTGTGGAGCTTGGCAGGTCAGCATCACACAGTTTGGTGCATGAAAATTATTTCTTGACCTATAAGTTAAAATGTTTTAGAATCCAAAACATACTAGACCATGCATGGTTTAGGTTATCTGACCTTAGCCCCCAAAAATGACTTGGAGTTTTAAAATCTTGATATTCAACTGCCCCATAGTAGTTTTGACTTTTGACTGTTAAGTCAAACTAGCCAGGTTGTACAAAAATAAGAGCCAAGCAGTGTTTTAAAAAGCGTGGGAAGCGTACACCTGGAAGCGTGCCTCCAGGCAAGGCGCTCCCAAAACGCCTTGAGGCGTATGCTAGAGGCACTGACACCTCTGAGGCGTATGCCTCTTGCGCTTTTTTTCATGAGGCGCACTAGAGGCATATGCCTCATGCACATCTTATATAAAATGACAGATGAAAAAAGAAAAAAGAAAAAAAAGGAAACGAAAGGAAACGAAAGGAAAGGAAAGGGAAAGAAAAAGAAAGAGAAGAATAAAAGAGAAAAGGAAAGTGTAGGGAAGAAAAGATAAGGGGAAAGAAAGTGGTTTGCCCCCTGCCCCTTTGGCTGGGGGGCGAAGCCCCCAAACCCCCTGCCTCCCCTTCGACAAGACCCCCCCCCCTTCAACTAATGTTATGCATCTTTATTTTTCTTAATATAAAAGATATTATTAAAATAAAGAAAAAATGAGATCCCCCCATCCTCTTCATCCTCCTCCTAACCCCCTCCTCTTAAGGAGGTTTATGCCTCCTTGTGTTCGGGAGGCTTACGCAGTTACACCTCTTGTGTTCTGAACTACGCCTCACGCCTCTAGGTAGTGGAACGCCTTGCGTCACACGCCTCCGCATTTTAAAACATTGGAGCCAATAAACAATATTATTTTTAACTTAGCAGCAGCTGGACCTGACTAACCTGAACCAGCCCTCTCCTCCAGGTTTTAGAGCACCTGTATGTTCATCATGGCATTTTTTAGTTTGTTCCATAAAAGAAGTTGAAGCCATGACCAAGTAAACAATTAGATCTGTATATTTAGCCACGACAGTACTTGTCTGACTTGTTTTTTGACACTTGAGGATCACCTTCTACCCGACCAGCATCATAAGGATCACAAAATTTTCATTTGAGTTATTTGCATTTATCATGTATATGTTCTCTTGATTATGTTTGTAGAGGAAGCAAATCTGCAATCGTCACTAATACAACTGTGGAGATCATGGTTCCTGAAAATGTTATCAGATCTGTCTATGGGGAGCAGGGCAGCAATCTGAATCGTCTAAGACAAGTAAGCCCTTGTTCATGCCACACTTGTTTTTTTCTACATTAGTTTTAAATTTTGGTTATCCTTGTACTTGTCAAAAAGAAGCCAAAATTCCTAGAAATTCTATGTTGTGATAAAACACAATTCACAAGGATTTTCATCTGACTTGCAAGGCTTGTTCAGAATCCATCAATCCCCCAAAATATTAATAGGTATTGGAATTTGGGAACAAGCTTTTGCACTCCAAGGTTATTCCATTTAGACTCGTATTTGGTTGTGATGAATACAAAATTTATCATGAACTGTTAATATTTGCATTTGCATTGAACATATTTGTGTTTGCATTCTTACTAAACACAGCCTAACCTGCAAACTCAGACTTATCAGATAGCCAGAAAGCTGCCAAATGGGAGCAATATTCAGAATCTCATATTAAGTTATTGTGGTGCTATCAGGAAGAACAAAAAGAAAACTACTTAACACTATTTCTAGTAAACAGGGCATAAATAAGCCTCTTGTAATATTTTTTTTATTGTAGGGCTACTTTTGGTCTTTTAATCGCTACCTTCCTGTTTATTTGATCCTGACGTTGAGATTGAGTTACAGTTTTGTGAAATTATTGCATTCTTACCCTAAGTTGATTTATGCCTTGCTGCTATAATATAGATTTCGGGTGCTAAAGTTATAGTGCGTGATCCTCATCCTGGCACAACTGATACTATGATCATCATATCTGGAACACCTGATCAGACCCAAGCAGCCCAGAGCCTCCTGCAGGCTTTCATTCTAAGTGGTCAATCATCACCAGATAATCCCAGGTTGTTATAATCGCAAGGGCAAGACAAAAATTTACGTGATACTTGCCCCTTTTTACTTTTCTTGTTCTTAATGGGAAGGTCTATGGTGGGTTCAGGCCAAATTTCATTATAGACTAGTTGAGATTTTTTTCTCTCCCAGTTTCTTCGAGCACTCCGTTCATACCAAAAATGGTCATTTTGACATGTAAATCCTGGAGCCTCTTCTTAGTGCATGCTTTCTAATATGTACATCTTGGGTGTTCTTCTTATTGAATGCTTTCTGATGAAGGTTATAGATTGATAAAATGAAATGAAGGTAAGGTCCTGTTATTGTGTTAAAAGGGGAAGAAAAGATGGCGGGTCCTGTAGTTACTAGTTGGGATATTATGAAATGTACTGATTGTTCCAACCCAATATATTTTTAACCAGTGATCAATTTGCAATTATTCATTGCCCGATATCCTTTCTGATCAATTGCAATTGCTGCTTCTAGGTCATCTCGATCGATGTTGAGAGAGGACACTCATTGTTGATTGATTCCATTGTTTGTTTAATTCCTTCCCAATCTGCCATGACCAAAAATCCAAAACCCATGCATAAAATTGGTTTAATGTAAATTATCTTGACCAATAATTAAGGCATTTAATAGTGATGAATGAGGATAACCACACATCGAGTATTTGAGTTGCAACTATCAAGCGAAGTTGGGTTTCTCAAGTTTAGGACAACATAATAATGAATAATCAGTGATTGGTTTAATCCCGTAAAAGGATTAATTACCAAGACGCAAAACACAACAGCACAATATTTCCATCTTACTTTTACGCAACTGGTGTGAGTGATCGTCATTGGTGGTTAGGATTTGAGGGTTATCTCCACGTTATCATGAACTCCTTGTAGCAGTAGCTCACCATTATATGATACAACTTTTCGTTTCTTTGCTGCTCGAAGGGTTCCAACTAGTGCCTCGAATATATTTGCACATTTATCATCGTTGAACAACACACCAAAAGTGACCTTCAAAACAGAATAAAGAGAACGGTAAGAACATGAAATAAGAATTAACATTAGAAAACATGGGATAGAGATAATGACGGGAATCAGATCATTGCTTAACATGGCCAACGAAGCGAAATGTCAATATTTACAAATGCCGCCGCTCATGGCAACCTGATAAAAGCGTTGGAGCTACCTCTTCCTTTCTTTTTTTTTCCCTTTAATATAAAAGAAGAAAAAAGAGATCTATTCACAAGGTAATACTGAAATAGAACGATAATGTGGATTTTGGGTCACCACCTGCCAAAACGACTTTTTTGGTAGGGCTACAATCGGATCGGATATGGGTAGAATGGTATATCCAAATTTGATTAATTTATATTCGAATTCAAATTGGATTGTATCCACAGGATTTATGTTGGATTCGGATTATAATTGGATATTAAACGGTGTAATAAATTATTAAAGATGATCAAAATATTGTATAGTATATAAAATGAATTAAAATGACTTTAATTCATTAAACCGAATTGGATATAGTCATATAATATAAATTGAATATTTATATGAGCATATATATTGTAATTAAACCGAATTGGACTACATTAGATTGGATAGGGATCAATCCATATTTGATCCAATTATAAACAGATTGAATTTGGACCACCCTTAATAGGATCGGATCCAAATTCGAATTCGGACAATCAGATACACCCATTCTGGTCCGGTGTATTGGGGACTGGTGTGTATCAATACTTTGAACCTTGAATGAGGCTACAATCATCTTCAGTCCAATAGCGGCTGTATACAAGGGATTGATCCTAGATTCCTAGCAACAATGAATCATTTTTTCATAATACAATACATGGGTATTACCCTAAGAGCCTAGCCTAGAAACCTAGTGATAATAGCAATCCCGGCAATAACACAGAAGAATGAGCACAATCCTAAGAGTTTGGAATTCCTAACCTCCAAATGGCCAAACTATATAGATACAGATTCATATCCAAACGAGTTTACCATTCTTAAGTATGCAGTTCCTTTACGGGTGCAAATGGATCGGATCGATCCGAGATCCGATCCTATTTGGTCAAATTTGGATCACCCCTGTTCGGATCTTTAGATTGTTTACCATTCTTAAGTATGAAGTTCCTTTACGGGTGCAAATGGATCGGATCGATCCGAGATCCGATCCTATTTGGTCAAATTTCGATCACCCATGTTCGAATCTTCAGATTGTTTGGAGTGGGTAATAGTATCCGATCAGAAATCGGATTGGATTTGGATCACCCCCTATCCGATCTGATATATATTATATATTTATATATATATATATATATATATTATTTATTTATTTATTTATACATATATTTTTATAAATTGGTTATATTATTTATTTTTTTTATAAAAAACATGCATATATATGATGAAAATAATTAAAAAATACTTGTATTTTTTGCTTTTACTTTATTTAAATTAGTATATTTTATTTTTAATAATTTATTAATTTTTAAAGAAAACAAGTTGGATTTGATCAGATCCAAAGATCTGACTTGCCAATAGGATTCGAATTCAAATCAAGTCCTATCAGATCTTATCGAATCTTTGAATTGGATCGGATCTGACATAAACAGTGTCAACCAGATTCAAATATACCATGATTCAAATCCAATCCAATCCGTTTGCATCCCTAAGTTCCTTCCCTTGTAGAATGCATCTTCACACCAATTTAGAAATCCTCCTAAAAGCAATAAGAAACTAATGGTTGAATAACCATGTCTACACATGTCATTCATGATAGCAAGAAGAACAAGATAAGCTCGGGCATTTCCAGGATAAAAGTGATAATCTAGTGGGATCCATCATTCTGAATAATCAGTGATAGCTCTCATTTTCTGCCACTAATTCACACTCTGGCTGGATCATCACTCAGAGATGTGAATCATGTCATATATGCAAAGAATGAGTCTCATCATCTGGATACATTTCCTACTTGCTACAAATTACTGAATGCCATAAATTTTAAAGGTTTCTTAAGTCATTTTTATGGCAAATTTATTTTCTTTTTTTTTTTTTCTTTCCTACGTCTTTGGGGGGTGTGGTATTTTCTCCTCAGATATCATAAAGTAAATCCATCGTCATCTCTAGGTTTGCAAACAATATTCCAATTAATGAAGTGGATAACTTGGTATCCTGAAAATTCCAAGGTAAGATTATCTGGATTGGCACACCTATCCAAAGAAAAAGGATTTTTTTTGAAAGGTAAATTGTTGTATATCCAATTAGAGTTATCCAATCCAGCCCAACAAGATGATGCACTTCTTCTTCCAGGTTATAAGTTTCTTACTAGATTTCTCAACAACAATAAAAAAAAGCAAAAAAAAAAAAACTACATTATAAGATGTTGGGTTCAATTTGCATATTTTCTACGTTGGGTTCAAATTTTCTGCTAACCAATTCCAATAATTTTAAGAAGCATTGCATTAAAAAAAAAAAAAAACATTTGGTATTGAACTATTAAGCAGAAAATGAGGTCAGTTAGTAGACCATAGACCACATACACATAAAAAAAAAAAAAAATTATCCCAATGTATACTCATGTGGTAAAAAGTGGAGCAAGAAAATATACATGATGCAGTTGAGTATAGCTATCTAATGCCATTTTATGTGCCAAAAATTTGAGCGTGAGGAAACGAAAATTAGAAAATAATAGATTGAATCGTGGCGAAATACCAACAAGGTACAAGTTTGTGACTGGATTAATAGCTTGTCACAGAAAACAGTTATCTCCCTCCAATGTCTAGCGCCTGAATGAAATGCTAGAGCTATTATTGAAAACTAAAATCCAAAGGCATCCTAGAGCATAATTGAATGAATGTCTCAAATATGAAGATCAACAAAACAACTTTGAGGGAAGAGGAATCACCTTCTTCTTCCCCCACCAACACGTGTTTCTCTTTATGCAATAGTGGCAAATGCCAACTAAACAGGTCTAAATAATCAACAATACCACCCTAATACATCATGTATTTCCTTGCTCTAATCAGCTTTACCATGCACCCTAATACATGAAGGGGTTATAATATCCTCAAGGCACCAGGCCAATTGACCTGCCTCTGCCTTTAGCTTTTTAAAACCTTGATAATGAGCCCATTGAAAATCTTGAGGACCTCATAATAGTTAATTGAACAAAAGGAAACTTTTTGAGAACTTTTGTGTGGACAAGTTTCATCCAATAACTTAGAACAAATAACCATTTCGTGGGTTGACTCAGGACAATTCATGAACCGACTGTACTGATTGTATTGTTATGGATAACATAGCTTAGTATCACTTTTCCACGGATCACCTGGTTAATGGTTTCCAGCATGTAGGTTTATCAATTTCGTGGTATCATGTGAATTATAATTTATATTCAGAAATCAAGCTGTCAAGTGTTATGGCTGGCAAATTTATTGTATAGAGATCATTGGAAAAAATCAATACAGTACTTAGATAGTTGAAGGGTATCATTCATCTTGGTTTGTATTATAGTGGTATTTTTCTGTATTAGAATGAATGATATAGTGATGCTGATTGAGCTACTGGTTAGGTAAATTCAAATTCTACAAGTGGTTGGTTGTTTACATTGGGAGGAGGTGCTGTAGCATGGCCTTCCAAGAAACAAACTTGTATTGCCATGACAACCATGGAATCAGTGTACATATCAATGTATTTAAATAGTAAGAAAGTGAAGGTGCCAACTAGCTCATTGGTAAGGCATCTGGCTGGTTGTAGTGGAGGCTTGATCTAATCCCATTAAACTATCTTCATAAAACTTGTACTCTAGAGTTGTATTTCTTCGATCGATTGTAGTAAACCTAATTTGTCTAATAAGGAAAGCTCTACCCAGAACGCAATGATTTATCTTGAGATTGAAGTTCCTCTACACTGATGTTAACTTTCTTTGGTTTGGAACTAGTATTCTTTTCTTGAAGATTATTAGTTTTGGAATCAATTTCTTTTTTAATAATTAATGAGGATGAGGATTTTTTAAATATTTTGATCTCAGTCAAGCTTTTTTTCCAAAATGGATGGGAAAAAAAAGAAACTAGAAGTTGAGAAGGATAAAAATAGAATTTTCTTCTTTTTCAAAGATTGGATTTTCTAACACATCAATCAATGAAGTCAGAGGCAAATATCTATGCAAAGGTGTTCTAGCCAACTATGCTTAGCTAAAAGTTAGTTCCACCAGGCACCACTCGTTCTCCATTTTTCTTTTTAAACACAGGCAACAAATATAATTCATATAATAGCCTATATATCTTATAGAGCCCCCTCCCTCCTTTTTGATATATTGTACCTAATTTTGGTTTATCACCACATTGCTAAGGGGAAAACTTCCAAATCATTAACAGCTAAAACCAACTTGGCTGATACCTTCTGCACATTCCTAATACTACTAGTGGACCTTCTACTTATCTACTATATCATTTCAATTAACAAAAGCCAAAGCAAAATAAGCAAAAAAGGACAACAACGACAGGGATATTAGATCTTGAATACGTGAGAAAGGTTGACTTGCTGAATAGAAAACTTCTGTCCTGAAGAATAAGAAGTAGAGAATATTTGCAGGTTAGAGGAAAAGAAAAAAGGCCTAGAGCTTTGTAGCTAGGTAAAATCCAATAGTTTGCCTCACCTCTAACAAATACCCATACTTCATTTCACAAAGAAGGATTACACTCTAGTTACTCATATGGACAGGGGCGGAGCCAAGTACATTGGTGGGGGGGTCTTTGGCCCCCCAAAGCCGTTATTTATATAGATGGAGGCAGGGCCGGAAACGTAATAAAGTGGGTCCTTTGGCCCCTCCAAAACTTGAATTTCCCACTAAAATGTTAGGAATCACTCTGTAATACTCCTACAATAAATTTTTTTTGTTTAATTTTTCTTAAGAAAATCTGTAATATATAGACTCAAACATTTCTGCCCATTTCTCTCTAAATCCTACATCTTCTATTCTCTATCTTATTTTCTTGTTGGACTTGGCCTCGCAAAGAAAATTCCTGACTCTGCCACTGCATATGATCTGTCCTTTCAAATAGAGTGCAATAAAATAAATAAATAGACACATGTTTCATTGAAGAAATTCAATTTAGCAAAAGGCATGCAGTTGAGAAAAGGGAGCATTATAGTAGAAATTTCCATGCTAATCAGAACTAGTGTACCTCAGATAATTCTTTTTACTTCGTCATTCAGACGCAAGTTTTATAATGACTCACGCCAAGAAGAGGGAAGAAATACCCCAGAAGAATAATGCTGGAAGCCCAGCAATCTTCTACATATTGATTAGTCATAGATCAAACATCTCTTTCAGCGATGACCATTATTCCAGAGCCGTATAATATTCTCTTTTTGGGGGTGGTGGAACTTGGACTACCTTTTTGATAGTATGGACAAATTCACAAATACCGATAAACAGCAGAGATAAAGCAAAATGACGAAATACTGAATAACTAATCATTCTGTCCAACAGGCTCCAGTTGTGAAACTGAAACAATATCTTAATTGATGTATTGCTGTCCTAAAGAAAACTAAAACCTTAGCAATTTTTCATGAACAAGAATGCGCAGAAGGTTCAAACCAAAATCATTCATTATACGCGATTACGCGAACATGAATATAAAAAAAAAAAGTAGTCAAAAATATAAAATGGGCTTATGAAGAAAACCAGAACGCTATACTGATTATTTCATTGAACGCGCCATGACCAAATACTGGAAAGTCGAAAAATAAAAAGAAGAAAGAAATGAAATGCAAAAATTAGTTCGTCTTAACAGCTATGGACAAATCAATCAAGTATCATACATTTTCGCCGTTATCCAACCGTGAAACCTGAATTTGCTCAATTCAGATACATAATTTCTTATCAATAAGGTTGATCTAAGAGGCCATGATATCTGAACTTTCCAATTCAGGTAAACACCATGAAATTCGACATTAAATAGCAAAAAAAATACTAAAATTGGTTTTAATTCTACAGACATCAATGGCAAACAAATGCCTTTATTATGGAAAGTTGGATCAAATGTACCTTGTAAGACCCATCCGGCTGAAGCTGGCCGAGTCGCTTGATTTCTTCTTTGAGTTGCTCCACCTCTTCTTCAACGTTCATTGTATTAACTTCACGTCACGATTTCGCTGACAGAGAATTAAGACTCGATCTTCGATTCACTCCGGCAAATGGATGAAGAAATATAAAAGGAAAAATATTTAAATAAATCCGGCGTGGGTTATGGTAGAAGTTAGGACCATCAGCTTAGGCTCAGTTTGGAAGGAGTACAGATGCAAATATGTAGAGTGCAAAACCTTATGTTTTGAATTATTTTGTATGTATTTGTATTTGTACTCTTTTCAAATTGAGTCATGGGGCAAATTTCTTAAACTACCCTTATTGTTTACATATTGTCTAAGGTGGCGTTTGTAAGTCTTTTTACAAAGATCTTCCAAAAGTTTAAAAGACTAATGAACTTTAATAGGTAGATCTTTAAAGATCAAAGACCGTTTGATTGCAATTTTTTTAAAGATCTTTCAAAAACTAGAAAGATCGAAAAATTGTTTGACAAATATGCTTATCGGTTCTTCTTACATACATGTTAAATATTATGTGTGGAACCTAGTAACACATTCAAATATGCAAATATTACTTGTGGGTCTCACTTACACATTTACCCACACAAAATATTAAAATGAGCTTTACTCATGCATTTTTCTATACAAAATAACAATGTAATTTCTATTTATACATTGACATCAAGGATTAAAGTATCGGTATCAAGTATCGTATCAGATCACTCGGATACGGATACGCTACGGAAACGCATGGATACGGACGAAAAAATATGGATATGCCAAAAAATGTATATAAATTCCATAAACATATTAATAACATTATTTTTAAGATCATAATAGCCATAATCAATGTATAGATACATAAAAAATATATATTCTAAAGGTATATGTGAAAAAATATACTACAATTAAAATAGTGGAATGCATAAAAATCATAAAATGTTATTGATATTGTATCAATCAAGAATCCTGGAACATATTGTATGTATTTTTTAAAAAATAAATACATACACAAAACTATTATTATGTTACTTTCTATTGAACTTCAAAGCACAAAACATATGCAACAATTATATGTGAACTATTATATAGATTATTTTCTATTTTACTATTTTTAATTTTTAATATTAACCAAAAGTCAACTAAAAATTAATTCTCAAATGTGTAATTAACAATATTTTTATTTTTGTAAACAATAAACACGTTATTATAAAATGTAATTAAAATATAAATTAAAAATTTATAAAAATATATAATATTAACTTAAAATATATAAAATATATTAAATTTTCTAAGATACACATCATATGCAAATTCATAATTTTTAATTGCTAAATAATTATTCCATTATTAATATTTTTATTTCCATAAATTTTGAGATTAAAAAAATCATTTTTTGATATAAATGTAGATTAATGGATTTGACAAATTCAATTTTTATTATATTCTCGAGGTTTTTGTAAATAATATTTTTATTTTTATAAATAATATATATATACTTTTATTTAGTTTAAATTAAAATAYTAATTAATAATTTATAAAATTTTAAGATACATGTCATGTTCAAATTTATAAATATTAAGTACTAAAATAATTATTCTATTATTAATATCTTTTTTCGTATAAATTATTGAGATTAAACAAATTTTTTATATAAATGTAGACTTAAGAAATTATTTATTCTATTAGTTTATAAAATATTAGTTTTGAATATTATTTTTGTTATTTTGCTGGATTTTTAAACACAAATGTAATTTTTCCGCATTACATGTAGACACTAGAATAGGAAAAGGTTATTTTATTTCATCAAATTTTATAAGATGAAAAGTGGCCTAGTGGATCAAGCGTGCAGTTAAGGCTTTAACGCTGGGTGATTTGTGTTTGAATCACGCCATGTTCATTTTTTACAAAAAAATGCGTGTACGTACAGGAAACACACCGATCTTTATCGGTTGTATTGGTCAATACAACACGATACGGGCCGATATGAATGTGTATCGCTTTCAGGGGATACGGGTTTAGTCATAGTGTATCTCGTATCCCCTCTTGCCGATACCAATACGATACTGTATTCGTAAAGATATTTAAATCCTTAATTGACAACACAAACAATCCAATACATTCATAAAATAAAAATACAACATATTTGAAAAAAAGCACTAATCATGTTGCTCGCCTTCTCCGTCGAGTTACCCTCAAGTTGTAATGCTCTGCCATTTGGAACATGATTTCATCTTGTACTAGTTTCATTTGTCTACATGCTTGAGATCCAACACTAATCGTTGCATGAAAAATATTGTGGAACATTTCCCCTTCACTTTCAATTGGTATTTTGGCTCCAAGAATCTATTCCAATATACATCTTGTGTATGTGACAACCTAATAAAGTTGTGCAACACACAGCATGCAAAAACAATTCGTATTTGTTTATGCATGGGATACGATGGCATAAACTTCAAGATTGGAAATCTTGCTTTTGGGACACCAAAGCAATGTTCTATGACATTTATTAATTAAGAATGTATATAATTGAATTGTTCTTCGGTAGTTTTAGGACGACCGCCTCTTCCCATAAAATCTATTAAGTAATATCTTTCAGAGCGATAAGGGGATAAGAACCCAGACATGTTTTCATATCTTGAATCAACCACATAGTATTTTCCTATATTGAATAAAAAATTAATGTTATTTTAGTAAAGACCTCAAATTATAATTATACATATTAATAGTTGCAACTTACAAACCTACAGGGGTAAGGGAAACAAGTTTGTAAGGTCTTGAATTGTCTCTAAAAATACCCTCAAGTCATGAGCCGCTCCCTCCCATCTTGCCTCAACAAATGTGAAGAGCATGTCAAATGAGCATGCACACATCACATTTTGAGTTGTCACTGACTTTCTTTCTCGATATGGAACTTGGTTAACAGTTGGCACACATGCATGGACATGTGTACCATCTATCACACCAACACAATTCTACAAAAAAATATATACAAGCATTTAAGTGCAATTTACCAAAAAGTAATTTATTATTAAATAAGGAAAGTTTGTGGATTGTTAACTCAAGAGATGAGAGAACTAAGGTCTCTTGGTCAGATAATCTATTTTTCATATTCACATAAAGCCTTCAATACAAAATTAAAGTGGCGAGATAATGTTTCCCCTGAATGCTAAAAATGATTAGTTATATATCAAAGCGATTTATTGTAGCCAATTATTTTCAATGTCATCCCCACTTGTTCATAAACAAAAACATATCGACTATCTTTGACTAAACCTCTTTGTCTTAGAGAAACTACCAAATTGATGAACACGTGTAGAGGCATTCTAAACATTTCTAGACACCTTTTACCATTGTTTAAAATGACATTATGCAAATAATCTAATCCAGTTAATATGTCATCGTGATAAGGTGTCTTAGGAATAATATCGTTCTGTTTCTCCGCTAATGTATACAAGAATTTCATCTTAAGATGCTCTAGTTCTTCCTCCTCCTATACAACTGTTACAATTGTATGCAACAATTGCTCCCAACTTATAATATCATTCATTCTTATTTGAATACATGTCAATGTTTAATAATTGATAAAAAACAAAATCCATTCATCAAGTTGCATCTAAAACAATCATCAATAAAAAACAAAATTAACATGTTCAAGTGAAGAAAATATAAAAAATAAATAAAACAGTCTTTTGTGCCTAAAATTGTCTACCCATGATCTCACTAATACATTTCCTCCTAAGTTTAAGTGGTAGCGTTAGATACCACTCTCTTGCAGATGGCTTATCAAACACTTCATAAAATTTGCAATAATCTCTATGCTCTAGTCCTTCTATTGTGTTTATATCTGCCATCACGCTTGCCATGGAGTATCTTTCCATTCTCTAAACCGTTGCATTCAATACATACACCAACAAGGTCATCCTCTTGTTGGCAGCTTCAGTAGATTCTGCCATAACCTCACTAATGTCCAATGCCTTTACTCTTTCAGCTTTCCTTCTTAGTATTTGAATTAGAAGTTTCAATAGTATCAATGGTAGCATCATCACCTTCATTCATCTGAAAATGTGGGGCATGCATCTTCAATGCATTGTTCAGTCTCAGTGTCATTTGCTTGAGATCTAGGGGGAGACTGCACCCCACGTGTCAACGAGGTAGCAAACCGACTAGTAGGAGTTGTCCCCCCAAATATCACATTGAGGCGATCATATTCTAGACAACTTATAGTGTGGAACTTCTTAGCCTTAGGGTTAACCTAACAATCAAGAAAAAAAGGATTTAAATAATTATATTTAAAACCAAGTTACAAACAATATAAATCCCGTACAAAAAAAAATTGAGTGATATCGCTAAATACTTGTCTCATGTTTCTGATGATGCTATGACCATATGTTTTTCTTCATTCCAACCAAATCCTATTTGTTCAAATCTCAATTTTGAAAACTCCTTATACCTAGATTTCAAATCTTGAATCTTATTACTAAAAGCCTGTGTTAAACTTCAATCCAAGTTCAGTAAAAAAGTCAATTTTTAACTTTATCCCATGCACTAGTCTTTAAACACCCTCCAGTCATCCCGTCTTTTTGGACTTGTTCAACCAACATATCAATGAATATATTTTCTCGGTCCAAAGTCCAATTATCTTGAGTAATTGGTTCATTATCAAATGTAATGGTGTTTACCACGTTAGAAGACATCTACAATAGTATCATTCATATGCCAATAAAAAAACAAAAAAAAAAAAATAATGAGTTATAAAAATCAAAATGTATAAACCAATAAAATATGTTCACATACACTAGTATCCATTAAATGGGTAGTGAAACCATACCTTTTAAGGTAATGTCCTTAATAAAAAATGTGATTATGACCTTGGGAAGGCTTAATTAAGTGTTGATCATGTCCTAAACAAAGAAATAGGCTCATAAATTAAGGTCTCATCAAAGAATGTTCATAAAAGATCATATAGAAGAAAACTATTTAAAAAAAGTTTTAGAAATAAATTTATCAAAAATAAAGTTTTAGAAATAATTAATAACTAGT